TTATCTATCTTATACTTTGTATTTTTTTGACAAACAATCATGATCAGAGTTGACATGATTTAATGTTATGACCACATCATATACGTGATTTATAAAAAATGATAAGATTTATCAGTTGATACAAATAGCTGATCTACAACATACTTTATCCATTTTAAACTAACTAATTCATAGATATGGAAAGATTAGTTGTGCACAATACCACTGTGGTATTGAAAATAAGTAATTAGTGCAGTGAACAATTCATATTTACTGTTAAACAAAAAATTTATGAACAAATCCACATGAAGAAAGTAATGAAAATATGTATGAATGAAAGTGTTAAAAGTAGAACAGTTAACTGTATTCAAAAGCAATGATAGAAAAATGTTTTTTGAAGTATTAGGAAAGTTTGTATTGTGTCTAGCAGGGGAATTAAAGACGAAACACATGTCTTGAATTCCCAACGCTAACCAAAATCCAACTTTGTTAAAACTTTGTACTTTTAAGGTGATAATAAGAAAGTCTGTAAATAATTTATGTATCGCAGCACAGATTGATCAAATTCAGTCCATAATAACAGTAATAGGAAAACTTAAACCATGATATAAATAGTAAACACTGCGAATCATATAACACTCATAATGTTCATAAAAGATATCTCAAAAATCAATTAAAAAGAATATCAGCACAGTAGTGCACTATTCTTGATGGGAAAAAAATGAATGATAAAATTTTCGAAATTCGATAAAATAAACTTGATAATCGACTTTCAGAAATAGTCTCTTACGGCTTTGTTATGTAACTGTCTGTCCAGCATTTAATATAGTCGAAAATTTAATAATTACACTTTAGACTTCGACATTTAGAAAAACACCTATGCGTAGATCGCAGAAAATATGGCATCAATAGATTGATTATCATCTACGGTTACTCACAAGAATCATAAGAAGTCAGTAATCAATTCTTGAAACAATAATCTTATTTTTCTTAATGATTCACTATCATTCATTAAGTTGAATTTGTGCTTATAGTATATTTCTTAAATCATTTGTTTTTATCAATGGTATTATTACTACTATTTTTGTCCTCACTCTTATTTTATATCAATAGATTTTCATCGTAAAAATATTCATCGGCTTTAACTAAAAAAAAAGGGGTATGAAGTCGTATGTTTTTTTGTTGTCTTATTCTACTAATTTATTATCTTGGTTCAAACTTCTGCTTCATATTCTTCAATGAAATTTGATCAATCATTCTCCTTAAACAATATTATTCATTGTAAATTTGAATTGTATCCAAGTGATAATAAATTTTTAAATCAAAAGAATTTCATCTACTTTATAAATCTTATTTATTTCTGTTCTGTTCAATATCTATCAAAGTAAATAAATAATTGTGATATGAACAATTTCCCATTATTAATTAATTAGATTCCACAAGCAGATGGTTATCAGGACTCAGTAGCTAAGTGGATAAAGTGATAGCATTTGAAGAGAACCGTACTTGGTTCGAGTCCCATAGTGAACATCAACATGCAGTTACATCCAGCTGACCAGTCATAAATAGGACGAAACACGCGTCCTGGATTCTTCTGTTAGTCACTATTCATATTTGCTTAAAAAGTTAAATTAGTTTGAAAAACCTCAATATTCAAATTGCTTATGATGAATCTGACCACTTCATATGTATTTTTAAGAAACACATTCGACAAAAAAATAATAATTTAACGAATTCTATATTTATCTACTGATAATAAATAAGAATCAGGGTCACATAACATGAGAGGAAATTAAATAGACAAAGAATCCCTTCTCCTGAAATCATTTCATTATTCATAACATACAGAATAACATCATTTGAAAGTATTTTGTTTTGTTTTATTGTTAAAGTGAGGTCAATTCGACAGATAGAGAATGTTCATATAAATTGTATATTGAGGTCAACGAAACTAATCGATCTGTCAAATAAGGGTTTCTTAATATTTGCTTTCATATAAAAATGTATAACTTATCTGTTTATTTTTGTGCATATTTCACGCATATCGATGATAAAACAAAAACATGTCATAAAATAAAATGCTCAATGAGTGTAATCCTTCTTATTTGACATTAATTTTTGGCCTTAATGAAAAAGAATATGCGTAAAAAAATATAAACATTTCACAGGGAAAACAAAGAATGCAGAAAAACAATAACCTCTCTAACAATTCATTTGTCATTTCCAAGACATAGGGAAAGTATTTAATAGACCGATAGCTTAAAAAACTGAGGTGTCTGATTTATAGCCAGTAAATTTCAGATCCAAATCCCGCCACACTATACTTCAGTTTAGACAACCACGTAGCACCGTTAGCGATCACACTAATAGTGTAGCTAGTAATAAAGTATTTGGTGAATCGAATCAAGAATAAATGATGTATAATTAAAGACAATTGAGCAAAAGAACGTAGAAACATACTGATGATGATAAGAAATAGTATGAAATTATGTCTTATTAATAATTGCTATTAACCAAACAATCATTGAAAATGATGAAGTACTCAACAGTTTTCTGTGACTTGGTACTCGTCAAAAGTTTGTACATCCATGCTGGCACAACCCTACACATGCACAGAAATAATTTTCCAAATGATATCACTTCAGAATTCAAGCTATATTCAAACTGAACTATCAATAAAAACCTCTTAAAGAAAATCATGTCCTCACTATTGGCTAAATTTGAGACTCAGATAGAAGAGTTTACTGAAGAGTCGTAAGTCGTGGAGTTCAACCATGTCAAGAGGGAAACTAAACAGTTGTGTTGGATGATCACGAATTGATCAATGTAGAAAATAAGTACAATTAGATTTGAATTCATTGCTTGTGACCAAAATGTTTTAGGTGGAGCTATGAATGCTCATAGCTCATAAAGATTAAATTAATAATAGTTTTTATTAGGAATCGATATTAACTGCAAAGGAAAGTCTAAAACTAAAATTACTGGACACTCGTTCTATAATAGTTTAAAATTACCTATGATTTGAACATTAACACTTCTGATTGAGACCATGAACCGATTGATGTTAGATCACCATTGAAAATCTGGAAGCACTGGACGGTCGTTTTGTCCTATTGTGGGACTCCTTAGCAGTGCGCATCCACGACCCCGCCCGCTGGGTTCGAACCCAGGGCCTTCGGTCTTGCGCGCAAACGCTTAACCTCTAGATCACAATAGGACGAAACGGCCGTCCAGTGTTTCTAGATTTTCAATGGTAATCTAACATCAATCGGTTCATGATCTCAATCAAAAACTTAATAATCTCCACAACCATATACTGATAATAAACACTTCTATATGAAATCTAAGCCTAGATGTGTCATATTAACCGCTCACTGAAGTTAGAAATAGCGTTATCATTATGTTAAGTTTTAACTGTTCACTTCTGAAGAGCATAATGTTGGGAGAATAACTGTTTATGAACTCTTGGTTTATAATGATCATGCAGATGTAAAAGCTCAAATTTCTCATTTTTTTTCGAAATTATTTACAAAATAGAATTATAAACTTGAAGAATTATTTAACATCTCATTACTAAGTGTATAACTGTCACTTATCAATTAATAAATACACTCGATTCTTTTTACTTATTACGCATAAACATATCATACACTTTTTCGCATGTTAACTTGCGCATATATATCAAGAATTTATATATATATATATATATATATATATATATATATATATATATATATATATATATATATATATATATATATATATATATATATATATATATACGTGTTGCCAACTCGTCATCTATACATGATGCGCTGTCAGAAAGAAAATGTAACAGGTATTATTTTCCTAACAGGAAACATGTGATAATCTAAAATATCACCCAACTTAATCTATTGATGTATGAATTCATTAATTCTGAATGTTTATGCTGTAATCAGTTAGGTAATCATATTAATTTTCAAGTATTTTATTTCACATCTTAGATTAATTTATTTAAACATTAAGGGCAGTGAACACAATACTATATATCGAGATGAAAGTTATCCCGATTTTTTAAAATTTGAACGGTGTCAAGTCTTAAGAAACCCATGTTCACCACTTCATGCCGATTAGCTCAAAATATCCAACATCAATTTCATGTTTAATGTAAAAAACTTGTTTGTTGGATCTTCATCACACAGTACTAAAATGATTGACCAAGGCGTAGTATTCATAAAAGTGTATTTTTTAATTATCGGAAATTATTATTCAAGTATATAGTGGTTGACTTTGTAAGGTGGAAAGTATATCTACAGAACTATTAAAAGCAGATCAAATTGAAAGTGCTCTCATTTGTAAGGAGACAATCCTAAACCTTATGGACTCAAGATTATTATTTATAATAGCTTTTATAAAGGAAACACGTTTTATATTTATAGGTTTGTCTGCTACCACTAGACTAGCTGACACTAGAATTACTTCGAGAGACTAAAATCACGTGAAATTCCGTAGCAAATCACGTTTGCGTGATTTTTCCTAACCTGAATTATAATATAAGTATTTGTCCCATCAACTATATATTTGCCCCTGTCAATTACTTACGTGTAACCTTGGTCATACTCTATACATAAGTGTATACTATTAGGTACATGTTTGTATACTTGTATCTCTTTCATGGTTATGAAGATTGCGTCACCTATTACTCCCGGAGTTAGCGCATCGGCCTTTCTCCATCTCACTGTAACGTCTGTCTGAGTATACGAGTGTTTGAAGTGAATTCATATTTGGTTTTCTATTACCTCCGTCACCTAAACGGGATTAGCCTAAGTAGAATATACGAGGGATTTATGTTTATCGCTCAATTATGGTTCGCTCACAATGGAGTCGGATCATGGATCTACAAATTAACTTTTATCTCGTCCGTAAAGGTTAAGTGATAGTATAAGTTACCTGATTCCCTCTTTTTTATTATAAATCCAAAATGTCTTAATTTAAAATTGATCACTTAGCAACAGTAGTCGATTTAAATGAAACAACAATAATCATCAAAAAATATAATTTGAATCTCCTGAGTAACAACAGTAATTAAATAATAATAATAATAATAAATGCACAATTTAAAACAATTTAACAACGTTCAAATACTTTATATAATTCTGTTAATGATGTAAGACGAATGAAACAAGATTGTAAAGAGAATGATTTAATGTCATTTTCATTATGATCTAAATCGAAATTAGGATATCTTCGACTAGGTAGTAAAGAAGAACATAAAATAGGCCATAGTATATGTTGAATCATCCATTCACGAGGTGATAATGACGATGAAGATACAGCATTTTCTTTATCTGACTTATCGTCAATGATTGATTTGGAAGATGATACGGGCGATGAAGAACAATCGTCGAATAAACTTGATGATGATACTGCATAGAAATTCGCTGTAATACAGCAAATATTTTCAAAGCAAACAGATTCAACTGACCAACTAACTAGTGTAGCTAATTTTGTTACATAGATTGGAAGCTGATTCAATTCAGGTATATAACTAGAATGCGAGATTTAAAAAAGATAATAGACAGTATTACTATAGTTGTTCTTCATTAATCAAAAAAACATTTCTGAAGTTTATGTATTAAGTGACGCTGGTTAACAAAACAGTGAGAGAAAAAATCGCCATGTTCATTTTAGTAAAGAAACATTTTAGAAAATCATTCTAGTAGTGTGAGAAATTGTCTAGGGCAAAGTTTTAAAACAAAATATAACATTCTATTAGTTAATTAGAAATATTCGATTTTCGTTTAAATCTGTAATTCCTTCACATTCTAAACAGTAATTATTCTAATGATCGTTAACATTGAGACTATTGGTACAATTAATCACACTTATGAAATATGAAACTGATAACTCATAGTCAATAAGCTAGGGGGAGATTGATTGTGAATACAGTGATCTTGAGTGCTGTTAGAGGTATGAGGACGGTTCTCATTTCTCAGTTGCCCACATCGTAGAAGGGTTCTTCTAGGAGCACCTGAAAAGAAAATTCGGTTCGAGTTGGTCTTAGTGACTAGAGAGCGTGACCGCAGTGTCCAAAGGACATCTGTTTGAGGCGAGTCACACACGACTTTTTTGTGAGTAGTTTTCGTGTTAGCTCCTTACTTGTTAAGAACTTACCCTTACAGACGAAAATCCGTGGGATAAGACGCAGTGTGCATTTTTAGGGTCGACCTTTTCCAACCCTACCCTCCTTGTGGGAAGGCAGCATCGTTGTTATGCCGGTTGCCTGAAGGAAACACCTTACTACAGTCACACCTCCGTACAATTCAACAGTATAACTTCGCCTTCGGACCTTGGGTTGCTGCTTTTAGTTTTACCGACCTGTTCGGCATGGTGGGATCTTGAGGAACGATTGTTCTAGGCAGTATAGCTCGATTGGTTCATCACGATAGGCAAGCTCGACCACCACGTCGAGGTAGCAGCAACGGTCGGGATAACTCATAGTTGAAAGAACATCTAGTTTGTAATCGTATACAGCCACGACCCTGTAAATTTGATAGTCTAACATCCAACATCCAACTGCTCACTGGGACGTGAACTTCGTTCGAACTACAAAACTGTACAGTGAAGTATTGTAAAAATGTTAGAGTGCTTAATGTCATATATTTTCTCATACTAATAATAGTTAATCGATATTAAACGTAAAAATAACTTGAGTTATCAGTATACATACAATCCAAAACACATTATTAAAAGAAAATCGAAAGCTGGAAGAAACGCTAGGTTATGGACATATTTGTATAAATTTATCTTTTAGAAGGAAAAAAAGGAACTAATTCAGCGACATATTAACGAAAGTGATCAAATATCAGTGACTGGACTGCAACTTTAAACGACAACGCACTAACTACTGTACTATGGTCAGTCAGATAATGTATCACTAGACAACTTGCATGAAAAGTATGGCTTAAAGCCCTGTACACAAATCTACACTTGGTTACCGAGTAAAACAAAGTCACCAGAATATAAATGTCGTGTGTAATAATACAGTTAATATCTCTCATTTTTATATGTAGTTTAATTCTTTACAAATATATGTATATTTGTGTGCATGTTTCTGTCGAGATGAAGTTATCGTTAGACTATCCTAAAGGCAGAAAAGGAATAGAAAAAAAATTACAATATCTGCCCATTTGAACTACCGCCGCTCGTTGTCATAGTGACAGAAGATTGCGGCAAGCCTATGTCAAACATTGAGTTTTATATATATATATATATATATATATATATATATATATATATATATATATTTGATTAAAAAATAATTGTAACAATAATCTGTTGAATAATTTTATACAACACAAAGAAACTTGCATAGGATTTAAGTACGTGTACTCAAGCGATTTATATATATATATATATATATATATATATATATATATATATATATATATATATATATATATATATATATATATATATATATATATATATATACTTTAGGCAATGAAACGTGCTTCTTCATGTAGTAAAGATTGGAGGTATTGGTAGTTTAGCATTTAGTTGACAAAATGACTATATCGCAACAAAACGTCTGTTACATATCAATTTAGTTTCAATAAAAACTGCGTTAACATATATTATTGAACTATTAGTGAAAACGATGCAGTTAAAAGTAATGATGAAATGAAAAATGGAATGGTTTGTCTTTAACAGTCTTATCTACCTTATGTGAATGGCTAAAACATCTAGCGTTTTTAGTAATTCAGTATACTCAAGAGTAAGAAAGAACTTTCTATCGTCATATTCTCTATACGGAAAGTGGTATGATCTAATCAAAATCGAAGTAAAAGATTACGGTGAAGCTTTTCATAATATAATAATGAAATTTCATAGCACTAGAGCTTCACATATTGTTAGACATTCCTTGAATAGTTATTTGTCAATCTAGAGAGAAAACCACTGCTCACTGTAATCGGTCGTTTACTATTAAAATCAAGTGAATAGTTAGCGTAAAAAAAATCATACACCCAGTCGGGTAGTCTACAAGATACAAAGTAACATACAACAATATATTTTCATTAGTTTTCCTTTTAGTACAAGATTTATATAAATATATATTGAAATTTATTATAGGATTGTTATCAACTCATTACCAGGTACAGATTCCCGTACTTGACTTCAGATTAAAGTTTAAGTGAGAGGGATGTTGGTGGTAGCCGACTGTTTGAACCAAAGTGGGTGGAGTAGGACTCGGATTTATGACTTAGTGGTTGAAGATTGAACGTTTTAAACACTGACCAACTACATAACTACACGATGCTTTGATCGATGGCGTGAAAATATGGTCCTATTTAAAAATGTAGTTTCTCATTTCAACATTACATCAGGTCGACAGTTTGTAAACCTCAATAGTAGTTCAAAAATGAAACAACTGTCCTTTGCGTTTATCGACATTTGCTGTCCCACTTAATTCTAGTTATTGAATGAAATTTGAAATACAAAAAACCATCAACTTCAATAAGTCACTTAAATAAATCACATTTCTGCATGAAAAATAACGAAGTAAATTTGCAGGAGTCATCTCTATTAATTGAAGACGTCAATATAGAACTTCCACTTTTGCATCAGATTACAAACTGATTGAGGTTGACAATATTGGCCATTAAGAACGAGTAGTGGTATTAAACCATAAACCTAAGGTACTTGTTGGAAAAAATGAGACTATTTTTCATTCTAATCCGAAAACCTGTTGATAAGCAATGTAGGTAGATCTCGAAATAGGAGAAAAGTACCTAGCATCTTTGAGTCTCTATAGGCCGGTAGAATTGTTTTTGAAAATTATTAAGAAAACTTGAAAAAAAAAATATTTATCAAGTCAACGGAAAAACTTACTTAGCTATAATTAAAGGAATTCCAGTAAGCACTTGATTTCCATTTGAATCGGTAGTTATTTTAATTGAGAAGTAATCCCAGAGCATAGATGCATGCTGAACAAAAGTAGCGGTAGCTTTTTTAACAAATTCAGCTGAACTGATATTAGATAAATATCGTGAAGATTTCCGAAGATATTCATGTCCTATCGATAAAAGATCTGCCAATGGGGCTGGTTCACGAAGAATTATCTAGACATTATTAAAAGATAGTGTGAAAGAATAGTAGTTATTCAGAAATACTTAGTTGAGTAAAAAATAGTTACAAACAAGCACCTTTATGAACTGTATCGAATATCGAAATAGGTAGTTCAACGAAGTCATACTTCGTCCATTAGCAAGCAGTATAGTTATCTGTACGGAAACTAACTGCTTATGTATATATATTCAATGAATATTAGTTACCTTTCAAATAACTTTGATTCTTAAGTGAGCTACAATTTACAGATTGTTGAGGGACACTATTCTCTAGGATGTATTCAATCCGGTGAGCCAAACGCAGCAATTTATTAAGAGAATGAACAATATGTGCACAGAAACGACCAGAAGATTTACAAGCTCAAAAGTTATGAACAGTGACATTTAAGTAATTTGTTTCTATTTACTTGAAATAATTTTCTTTAACTACAAAAACAATTGTTATCGTTATCAACCGAATATCGGTCAAATAATCATTTTTAAACCCTTACTATGACAATATCAACAGAACGCTAAAACAACAACTTTCGGTCTTAATATCTAACGTCAACCAATCCACGATATTGCGTGACCATCTTTCATTGTCTTTAGTGAGTAACCGCCTCAACTTCACTGGTCACATCTCACTAAAACTTCGAGAATCGCCTCTCAAAGCTAGTCACTAGTGAGTATATGCTAATTATCAGTACAGAATTGTGAAGCTTGATGGGTTTTGATTAAGATCATGATTCGATCAATGTTAGGCCAACATATCCGGTGTGAGGCAGTTACCCATCGAAGACAATGGAAGCTGATCGTGCAATGTCGTGAAATGGTTGAAGTTAGACAATAACACCATTGGATGCCGGCTCAGTGGTCTAAATTTCAGGCGTTCGTGAACGAAACCTGAGTTCTTGGGTCCAAATCCTAGAGGTTGTACGCTTGAGTATAGCAAAATAAAATACATAATTGATCTCATGTCGTATTGATATAATTAAATTTGACAACCTAGATCGTTACTGCTTATCATGATGGTCTGTTTGCTGGAAGACCAGAAAAATAATCAAATATAAACAATAATAACTTTTTATTCCGTGATTTCAACTGATAGACAGACAACTCCTAAGCCTATAGATTGAACAAAATATATAGAGTTAGCATATTTCAATGTTTACAGAGATTAGAATACTTTCATAAATTATTTTGTCCATTGATAGTCGATTTTCATCATAGGATTAAATATTTTAGAGAAAATAAAGTATGAACAAATTTATATCTTATTTATCTACCTATTTCCAAGTCTTTTCATCTTAGTACTAAACAGCTATCTACAGATCAGAACAGATCCGGTAAATTTAATTTACAGTATCAATTATCAAAAATAGGAAACACAGTACATTGATAAATAGAGAATAAACTGTTATATTCCTAATTAATGAACTAACAATATACTTGGATTCAAATTAGAAATTTAAACCACATTTGTTCTGTTTATCAAATAAATAAATTTTAAGAAAAAATTTCCCGCATTTTTAAAAGTCATCTATGTATATGTGTATGGAATAAGATATAAACAATTCAAAGTTTGTTAATTAACAGTAAACATATAAAACCAGTATACATGAAATAATTATTGATCAAAAATCATTAATTAAGTTTCATTAACTTTAGCTAGTTCTATATCCAAGTGAATGGTAATAAGGTACATTTAGTTCTGAAATCACAAACAAGAAAAAGTCAAATTTCCAATTATTATTAGTAGTATATACTTTATTGATAGAACAAAATGCTAGCGATATAACTAAGCTATGATTAGTTTGAACTACATTGGGACAGTGATTAGCATTATATCGCTAAAACTACTATGTTCCCATTAACGTGATACTTACTACAAACTAAAATGAAAATAAAGGATTATTTCTAATTTCCTAGCGAATTTCATTGATATAAAAAAGTAATTTGCAACCCACAAGAAAAAAACTGTATGATGATAAACTTCATTAAAGAATAACCAATGAAACGGAAATGTCGATGAACAGATTGTAATACATATAGTATCAAAGTGGATTACATAATATGAAAATAGCACAGAAAGAAATTAAGAGAGAAAGAGAAAATGTATTAAAATGATTGAGATGAAATATATAAAACACAACAAACATAATTTAGCTTTATACAATCGATTTCGGTTGAGACAGTTGAGTAATATAACCAGTTCTTATACAAACAGTATGGTGTAAAACCGAATAAATCCACTTGGTTAATGAATTAGATATTCAATAACTAGTTCATATCAACCTGGTTGATTGGAACTTGATTTTATTATCATTATTAATGGTTTAATTCAGTATTATATGTTTAGTACAATATGGAATTTTCGGCACATAATATTTCAACAAGTTTTTCTTACTTCTTCTACATCACAAAGAAAGAAAAACTATTGATAACTACAAGCATAGATTATACATGGAATAAGTTATCTAGAATTAAATGAAATGGTTTCAAAAAGATTAACATTTATGCAACTGTTAATTAGCAGCGTGTTCAGGAATACAAATTTTTACCTAAATGTTATGTAATGTAATGTTAGTGCGTATCAATACCAAGGTTGGACTTGATAGTTTCAAATAAATACAGCATTGGGTAGAAAGTTAATAATCAATAAGTATTCTTTATTATAGCCCAATGAGTAGTTTAATGTAAGCCACTTCTTCAATGTTCCCTCCGTACTATTTAAACTTGTGTCAATTTTATTCGGTTATTTATTTACTCCGAAAAAACGGTTTACATTAAGCCATGAAACATCAGAAATACAATTTTTCTATATACATTCTTATTTATGATGGATTATCCTACAAACCAATGCGAAAAAACAAACTTATCACTGGATTATAGAGAAAGATTAAGACAATACATAACCAATCTATTACTCTAATATATAAAGTGTTAACAATAAAAGTTATATATATATTTCACTCACTTCACCATGATTGCCGAAATTTGTTAATAATAATTGGTAAAATAATGCTTGACTTAAAGGTTTTAAACGTATAAGTAATAATTCTGTATGATGTTGTGCTAAACATCTTGTTTCATCAATAAAGCCAATAAATTTACATGAACGTAGTGTAGTCTTAATAGACTGGTCTAAATCACATTCTAAATTACGTTTTAATGCAAGAATACTCATTAAATAAACTGTTCGATGACGAGGTTTTGATGATACTGATTCTATCATATCATTATTTGAGTAAGTTAAAAGTGTATTCGATTTGCTAAGTAAACCATTAGTAGTAGTAGTAGTAGTAGTATTTTGAGATGATAAACTTGTATCTGTTTTTATTATCGGTCTAGATGTTAAACTAACTGTAGTATCATTATTATCAATGGTTGCATTATTATTAGTATATGACTTTAAATGATTTTGAGCTGTAGTAGTTACTTCATTTTCGTCGGAATCCTTTTCTTTCTGGTCATGAAATAAATGGGATTGTTCAGTAGTTGCTCTAAGAAGAAATAAAATGATACAAAAACACGGTAAAGATTAAATATCCTTTTATTCTTTGTTCGAATAGATTGCATGTTTATAAACGAATTTATAGTAAATGTAACAATGGTATGAATACAAAATTCAGTAAGTACTTTTATCATATCTTTGACGAGAAAATTAGGTGGAGCAGGAGATCAAACCTGAAACTTATTGGCAGAAGGTCGAATGACTCAATTACTATGCATCCAATTCCTCTTATTAGAGAATGTCCCATCGCTTTTGACAGATAAGGCAACGTGAAAGTCACGAGAACATAATGGAAGCATACAACAGGCTAGGTATATATATATATATATATATATATATATATATATATAAATGAATAATCATCATGTGCCAACCAGTAATTTACTTCATGACAATCTTAAATCTATGGTGAGTGGTTAGAAATAGTGCATTAATTTTGAATTCAACAACCTAACAGTAACTCATTAGCTGTAGAGACTTAGATTTAATTTTTTTCGGAATGAGTTTTAGGTGTACAATGAAAAGTTTCAAACTAGGATGAAACAGTTGGTTTTCAATAGCTCTCCTCAGTTGGTACCAGACTGTGATGAGAACTTACGTCAAATATTATTTTACTTTCATTTTAAGAATGAATAATTTCACTCATATACAATCATCATGATAAAAAGACCACTAACCTGTTCCAGTCACATCCATCATAATTCAATGAACTATTTTCCTGAAGAAGATTGGATTTCAAAATTTCATCAGCTTCATCAGAATCAACTTCAATATCCGGACTCATTTCACCGATAGATTTTTTCAACGAATTATTATGTAAACTTTTAAGCTTACTAAAAACTATATTATTATCATTATTATTCATGTAATTTGATTGAGGTGATAGAAAACGTTCAAGTTGTTGTTCACGCAGATCAATTCGTACTTTTTCATTCGGTCTATAGACAACTTGTGATGAATGAAGATCTTTTGAATCGTTGTCTACTGATTGATCATTATGAATATTTAATTCTTTAGGATTTTTAAAAGTAATCGGTGTTGGCAAACAATTTCGAATGAATGTTTGAATTTGTGCAGATGATAATAATGCTTGTTCAATAGCATCCTGTAGTCCATTAACTATTTCATCCTGTGAAAAAATTTAAAAAAGGCATAAAATGAGAATGGTGAAACAAGTTATATTTCAACAAAAAAGATTGGATAATAATTATAAAGTTACGATAATCAATAATGTGGAAATGTCAAAGTAACTTTCTACAATATCATAACTAAGATTTCCTGAATGTCATTAGTTTATTCAATAATGTAGTAGAAAAGTTATTAGTTATCAAATGGATGAGTACCATTTCAAAAGCTAATAATCACACCATTAATTAACTCGTATTGAGTTTTAGTAAATCAACTGAGTGGGTGTGATTTGTTTAAAAAAAGTTCAGTGGTAAACATGATTCATGTGGTTAAATTATGCATTAGCATGGATCAATGTTGAAGCAACATGTAATATTTCAAGGAAGAAGGATCCATCTCAAGATTTTTAGTATTGTTATTCAAGGTGTTTAGTAGATCGTGTGTTTTTAACATCTTCAACAAAAATAACAATGTCACCTATGTATTATAAGTAAGACACCAATCTCTACAAATGCACACGACAGGAATATTATCTCAAAGTGAATTTCTTTGACACATTCAAGCAAACATGAAGAAAGTGGACAGCCTCGATGGATGCCATTTGCGGCAAACCACTACCATAACAGCAATCCACAAGCTCTGATCCGATGAAGTGTCTGAGTAGAGAACAGTACCATATTTATATACTTTTGTATATCTTTTTATATAAAAGTGCCACTTTCAGATGAATGGATTCATCCAGAGTTTGACCATGTTCTAAAAACCACGGAATGATAAAAAACACCTGACCAATAAATTCATGGCCAATTCTAAAATGTTTCAAATTTTCTCAGGTATGTTATTTCCAAGCTTCCGCTAACCGTCGACTTATAATAGAAACCAAGAGCTTAAGAACAATGTTGATTAAATGGATCATTCCATGGTTATCACAGAAAAATTTCTATTGTAGTAAACTGATCAGTAATTGACATAAAACGTTTTACTTCAAATTTGTTATAACCTTTTTAACTTGGTTAAAAGCTAGTGTATTAAAACAAAAGAATCTCACAGTTTAATCAGATTCAATTAACTATATAAGTAAGTAAATAAACATACAATAAAATGTGATAACTAACCTCATGAAGAAAATTTACTTCAGCTTTTGTTGGATGTACATTTACGTCTAAAGTATTTGCAGGCAATTGTATATTCAAATATACATATAATGAATTAAATGTTGAAGATTTATACATAATATTTGAATTAGTCGATACTTTAAATGATTTCTTAGTTGTTAATATTGCTTGATGTTGATCAATTGGATTAGACGATAAACCACGTGAAATCACAGAAGAATAAGCACATTCAACAATACGTTTTATTGGTGTACAACTAACTAAACGATTATTAATGAATAGATTAAGTTTTAAAGATGGACTACAACCTGTACAAAGTATGACAGCCGAGTAAAAAAGATATAAAAAAACAGAAACAAGTAAACAATTCAATCTATTATTAGTAAACATTTGAATCTATATAAATTTAGTTATTAACTTTATTTTCATAATTGAATTCACGAGTCGATCTAAGCTAGACCACTACTGAAAACCTGGAAGCGCTGAACGGCCGTTTTGTCCTAGTATGGGACTCCTTAGTAATGTAAAAATACTACAATCTTCACAAATCCTCACACTAATATCAATTTTATATTTACGATATTCTGGAGTCCTGGAAAACGATGGAATTAAAGACAAATATTTTTACCTTATTTGAAACTATTCTATTGAGGAAAGCAAAATTACAATGTTGATATTCACAAAGATATACGATATTTCATACTACATAAACTGTACCAGTTCTCGAATTCACATACTCGATACAAGATCATGTCATTAAAAATTGAGTTCGAACAATTGATTAATCAAGTATATTTAAGTGAATGATATGTATTTTACTGACACGAAAGTAAACTAGAATGGAAGTTAGTAGAATTTACGAAATTGTCCAATTTATTTGTACATCAGCGTCAACATACTGATTTATCGACACTCATAAATATTACAATTAGTCGACAAAATAATCATCGTTTCGCTTAATGACAATTCAACCTTCTATAAACTATCATATTTGAAGACATATGAGTCATAATTTTGCGTGCCTGAGACATGCCATTCTAACTTTATAGTAGCCTAAACATAGAAATTAACGAAGCAACAGTGAGATAATCATGTATACGTCCAGAAGGGGGTAGATATCGCGAGTTATAAAACCTCAAACAAACAATTGAAGGAAGATATTAAACTTTCAAGAGCTCACAAAAAATACCAATTTAATGATAGGGTACGAACATGATGAAATTAGTAATAATTACCCAGAAGAGATTAAACTCTTTTTTTTAAATCCTCAAGATAGCACAAAGTAGGACAAAAACTACGCGAAATAAAACAGATTTTTCTATATAGGTACGGACATAAATTAAGTAAAGCACTAAATTACGTGGTTAAGAAGAGGTATGTTTATTTGGAAGGTTAGTAATTATTGGTCAGTTGGAAAAATATCTGTCACCTGGATTTCCCCGAAAGAAAAGTAACATCCTGTTAAAATATTCTGAAAATGCATCAAAACGGTCGACAATAAAGATGTTTCAATACTTTCAGGGATGTAATTTCCAGGAATTTAATGAACACTGATATTCAGATCGGTATCATTAATGTTAAACAAATAAAAAATACATGTTGTTGGTGACAATTATAGCATTAATATCAAACCGTATAAAGATGATGATGAACACTCCTAAAAAATGAAATATACTCTGAAACTGAGGGAGCAAATTATGTACAACTATAATTATTCTTAATATTTGAAGTTGAATCGTTTTGAATAATTGGCATTAAATTTCAAGGGATAAAAGCAAAAAAATGTCAAATCGATGGTCTCATAGTGTTGTCATTGGCCATGAAAATATCAATTAATGTATCACTTTATTATATATATAACAAAATTCCAGATGACGTTGACGATTACAGAACAAATAAAACGACAATGAAAATAGGAAATTTCCTTACAAGTACCAAATATGACGAATGTTTTACAGATAACATGAGAAACTTCATTAACTCATTTATTTCATTTAGTGCCTATTTTTATGGTATGTTCAGAAAGTAGGTTTATGCTTCAGTGTACTTTTTTGCGTAAAACACTTTCTTCCCAAGAAAAAAACACTACAGGCAACTATATAGGTTTATTGAACTATGCGTAATGTGATAATAGGTTAACACTGGTAGAATCTTTAAGATACACTAGAAACTTACTAGATAATTTCCCAGTGAAAGGAAATATTTAACATTAAACAAGTCTGTAGAATAAAATAAAGATTTTCTGTTTCCGTTTCATAAGCACAAGTTGGTAAAAATATGAACATACATCTTCGAAAGTATAGTTATCTTCCAAAATACCTAATGATCAATAACTTGTGGGGATTATTCACAAAACAACTGTATTTACGACTAGCGTTTATTACAGTTAGTTGGTCAGTTATATATAACACAGAACTTGGTTCATGATGTGTAAAGAGAAATAAAGAAGCCATGGCAAACAACGAAAACTACGTTTGGTGATGTTATTTCACTTAATTCAAAGTTTGTTAAATACTACATTTAGTTTTGTCCCTAGTCTATTCTACAAACTATAAACTTTCGTTTGATGTATGATCCACTGCCATAACCTTTTCTGTTCCAAAGCTATTGCAATTTAAACATAACCCTTGTTACCCTATTTTTCTACCCTAATGCCCAGTTTGGACGAAATTTTTCTAATTGTTTGTGCGTTGTGGTCATCTATTTGTGTTGTATCATTTTACACTAATGTGAATTGGTAATCAGGAATAAATCGAGTAGTGTTTCAGTTGACTCATCTTCTCTCTCTCTCTAGCTTGTCAACCAATCAGGTGACGAAATAGTTTTCGTCTCTACCCAAGGCTGTTAGTCTCGATTCAGTCTCACGCATTTCTAGTCTCAGGGTTAAAGCAATCAGACTACTGTGTCAAGGCCATAATCTAGATCGAGACAAGTTCTCCTGTATATTATTGGGTAGACAGATCAAGAACAGGATAAAATTATCATGAAAAATCTCAGAGTAGTAGAAGTAGTAAAAGTATCGATAGTGGTACAAAAGATTAGGTATTGAAAAAGACACAAAAGATATAAGATTTTGGGACTATGATCTACAAGTGACATCAGCTGACAAGCACTAATCAAGCTTTCTGAATCCAAGCAGAGACTTCTTCAGACAGCAATGCACCAGGGATGATCAGACATCGAAAATAAGTGAAGTAATCAATAAGCTCAACTACGCCATCACTAGATCAGAAATCGATGCAAACTAATCCTAAAGCAAAAGTGTGCATTTAAACGGAAAGAATCGTATCATAAATATGGTTGCATCATTGCTCAATGCGATAAAATGACTCTTGATATGTGGTAAAGTGAAATATGACTGGTCACTAAGCGTGAACAAACAGGCACTTAGCCTGCTGACTATTTAATATGCAATTTCATTTTTTTTATCGATTTCTACTTCGGACTCACTGAAATTGATTACTTGTAACTGTGTTGAATAAAGTATTGCCTAGCATTCACATTGGTTCTCTATTATTAGTTGTGAATCCTGGATCTGATATAATGTGATCTGATTTCAGTATTGTATACCGTCTAAGTATCCAATCTAACGTATTATCGTACTGTACCTCAGAAACAGAAACATATTTTAAGCCATCCGTTATATCAATTCCGCGTTTTGTCAGCGATCTCATCAAACGGAATTATAAAATTTGCGTATTTTAATCCAACAAGTGAATTTTCTGTTAGACTAGTTTTTGAAAAAATAGATGACAAAAGTATTATCTTTAAAAAATATTTATAATGAAGTTGAATAAAACTAAGGAAGGTGAGCAAACTTGATGAATAACACTTGAGATTGGCAATTCCAATGATAGTTTTTTTCGTTTAAATTTCATGTGTTGTATATTCTCAGTATGAAACTGTTCATTTAAACATGAATCAGTAAGTTTGTGCCATGAATATGATTATGGAGAAAAAAAACTAAACCATGCTTATCGGTAAGTCTCGTGTTTCTGCTAACAGCTAATTTGTCTAGAGAACACTAAGTAACCCTATTGGTGAAATATAGAAAAGACCATGTGATTCAAATTACCCGATAGCCAACTTCATCGTTTTTACAGTCTCCAAAGATAGAAATGTTCTAATCATAAAGACAAATCTCCCAACAACAAATGGATGATGAAAAATTATATAAAACTTGGGAATTAAAAATTCGAGTAGTTTCTGACATCTTGAGCTATATTTAAGATTGGATATGGGATAAATCAATAATTTATCATATTCCAATGTAAATGTCTTGACATGTCACTTGATATGATCACTTATTTGTTTTATAGTAAATTGAATATTCTAAGTTACCAGTAACTTTATAGTGAAAATCGGGAGACACAATCAAGTGTATGTAAAAATGATAGAATAAAATATGAAGTTTGGTTAATTCTTATTGTTTGTTACCGGTATAAGCTGGCTGAAGATGTCATATTCATAAAATTCTTATGATCAGGTTTTCAGTGATGAGATAATAAATTTTTTTTACAAAAAACCGTTATACCTAAAACAACTTTGCTTAATTACTTCATTATTTGTTACAAAGCCTATAATAGACAGTTTGTTATAATTTAATTTACAAAATTAGCACAACACCATACAAAAACAGTAATTTGCCTGAAGAAACTTGATTTAGCGCAGTAAGTAAACCTTCATAGCGTAGACCGTAACGTTCTATAGCTAAACGTGTTGATTCTGAAGATGAACATTGTGAACTAGTGAAAGAAATTAAATTCTGTTCTATGGACGAACCAATTACAGCACGTATTGCATCCATTCTTGACCAACCAGCAGATGTACGCAAATCTAGAAAGAATATATTTTATTGAAAAAAACCGAAGAATTTAGTCATTGTTACATTTTATTATTAAATAATGCGTGAATAGGTCAATTACAATTAGATGAATTGGGGTTTTAAATAGAAAAACTGTGTCGATTATACTATTAACAATCATCTATTTACCAGATACAGTAAACACTGATAAAGTTGATTACTCATTACGTATAGGTTTATGCACTCGTGCTTAACCCAGATTGTTTGCGTGATACCTAGTGATACTACTTGGCAACATAAATCGTAAGGCAACGTTCAAACCATCGAAGTAAAAATTGAAAGTTGGATAGTTTAACCAGTAAAAACTCTAGCCTCCAGACATTTCTCTAACATATTCTTAAAAAAACTTGAAACCACAGATATTAAACCTTTCCAATTATAACTTCGAAGCAGTTAGTTAGCAGAGGTTTGAAAAAACACCTTGTGATTGTTAGTTTGTTTAATAAATTTTCTTGTTTACTTTGTCTCACAAACTTTTTCAAATACGTTTACATTTTAAAAATCTATTGTACTATCTACATTAATGACCATCTCTTTGAACCGGACAAGAAAAATAAGCGTAAATCTACAAAACAGAAATAGTTCACTCCTTATTTAAATCGTTTAAATCTAATACATGTTAGTATTTATTGCAGTAGACGGCTTAATTCAATTTAATCAAACAAATAAAATGTAAAAAACGAAAACCAAACATTAGAACACTTTTTATGATATTGCAGTGTATGCTACTTAAGTTGAAAATATAAGTAGTATGCGACATCATTCAGAATTGGAATGCCTGCCTGCAGAAGATTAAATTGAAAAGAACAGAAAGGGAAACAGAAAGTAATTGTGATAACACAAGAGTTGAAAGAACCATGAAGCACAAAAAGGACAACTTAAGGAAGATGTGCAAATAATGTTTTTAATGTATTTATCATATTGTATGAAAGCACTCGGTAATTTTAGATTAAACAATAAATTAGTTATCCTCACAAAACTTCGTTCATTATCATATGAAGGATGAAATTCGCCAAAGTTTATTCTGAGACTGGAAATTAGTTAATTTTAGAAAGAAAGAAAGAAAAAATAGTAAGAGCTCTACCTCTACACTGATCGTAAAATGATAAAAGAAAAATTATAAATTAGTTTTTTCAAGTATGTGAAGTAATAACATGTTAACTATTGAGAAATTTACATGGCATTCACTAAAATTATAACCAAATATAATAATTCAGAAAGGATCAGTTATTATTCACGAATTTGAAAGCAGTCAATTATTAATTAATTTGTTATGCGATATTTATTATCGTTTATTATTATTATTACTATTATTATTATTATTATTATTATTAGTAGTAGTAGTAGTAGTAGTAGCTGTAGTAATAGTAGCTGTAGTAGTAGTAGTATTAGTAGTAGCATCATTTATTAAGACAATTGAAATCGAAAATCAACAAGCATAAATAATATTTCCCTAAGGACCAATGAATAAATAAACTCTTGATGAATAATGAAGCATCTATAAAATGTAAACCGATAAAGACTAAGGAAAATAAGGTAATAAATTATTATTAATTGTAGTTTTGCTTGTACTTAATCAATAAAAATGATCCTAACTATTTTCACAAGGTATTTCAAAAACAAAGCCCAAGTAAATAACCATAATATATAACGTACTGATCATGTAGATAATTAGGTACTGAACTTTAAGCAACCATTTTATTATTTGAAGGTTAGAAATGCAGTCAGGCTACTTTATCTAATGTATTACGTTATCAGCTAGAAGATAACGTAATGTCCCATCACTAAGAATTTCGACCATAGAAAGCTGAAACAACTAAGATTTTCAATGTGGTTGTTTATATGTAATCTGGGAAATACAAGAAGTGAATAAGTCAAGAATTATCTTGAACAAAGAAATTGGTAATAGATTATATGTCCTGCAGTAGGCACAAGACCTATATAACTAGAAAACATATTAAAGCAAATATTAACATTAAACACATAAAATATAATTTTGAGAAACATTAGTTCAGTTTTAATAAAAACGTGTATTAGCATAAAACCGTGATGAACAACTAATTGAAAATAATTTTCTTCCTTCTATTAGTTCTTCTTTAACAAATGTCTAAATTCACGCGATCGAAGTAACGAGTTGATCTAACTTGGGCCACTATTGAAAACCTGGAGGGCCGTTTCGTCCTAGTATGAAACTCTCCAGCAGTGGGCATCCACGGTCCCACACGAGGGGATCGAATTCTAGACCTTCGGTCTAGGGCGCCAGCGTTTGATATTTAGACTACTGGGCCAGTATCTAAAATATCAATTTTCAATCCACCAAAAATATGTAATTGAGCATTTATTTGAATATCATTTCAAAGTAATGCCATATGACAAGTTTTCTTTTATAGAGTTAATAAATAAATAAAAAATACTACCGGGAACGACAAGGGAAATTGTACTGGAATGGCTACAAAAGTTTAAAAATTCATGATAATTTGACGTCTAAATTGTGCTTACGGACATTAAACCACAGATTCAAAGTAGTTTCTTCATCTGTAAGTTTTAGGAAGAGTCGTGAAGTGGAAATCAGTAAACTCGAAAAAATGAGTGGCCGGGAATCAGTTTGTATATTATCTTTGTATCTAATGGTTCATAGTATCTTTATACATCGATATACGTAAGCTTTTTGTTTATCCACTAATTCTCATTATTTCTCTTACTACTCATAAATGACGGTTAATTGACCAGTCAATACGTTACTCAGATTCATGTCAAAAATGCTGTGGTTAAACACGAATTGTGATTTATCATTTTCGATTTGTTGTGGCAATGTATTTTAAAGATAGAATTACGTGAGTTACGGATCTAAAATACACGAGGCGCCTAAGTGCTCTTCCTGGTTTTCTGACTAATAAATGTGGGAACGGGCGACTTTTGTGTGGGTCAATAGATCGTTGTAAATACTGCATCAGAGTTATTAGATTGAGTGTTCTCATAATTAATTGAATCATAGAAATAAGACTATGGGACGTAACTACAAATAATAGGATTTACAATCAAGTTCATTAAGGATCATCACAATCCCGTGGAATAAATTTCAAATATATCAAGACTAAGTTGGCATTAAGCAAAGAATCATGATTGGGAAAAATGGAAAACACTTATGGATTAGGCTAAACTGGTCATTGTTCTCAATAAAGCTCGTGTAGTCACAGAAATAGAATAAAGTGACCAATGTTCTTTATTTAATCATACAGCTATATCCTATTTTTTGCTTATTCTTCTTCTTGACAAAAAAGATAAAACATTAGGTCAACTTATGATCCAAAATTTACATATTCCCTCAGTATAAGTTAATCAACCGATAAACATTTTAGACCATAAATAAATCATGTGAATAACTTTATATTTTAACTTAAAAACCGAAATATGTATTTTTGCTACAGGAATTCCACGGTGTATACCCATATAAATGTTGATGATCGATAGAACTCGTGATATGCACCGTATAATAAAATATTTTATCCGAATTACATCAAATAGTTGAGGGGAAAACATTAATTTCGAAATCAGAATTTAAAAATTCTAGATTACAAACCAAACAAGAAATGTAGGTGAAGAAATATTGAAACTTAATTCATTGAAAATAAAATAGAATTAACCAGCATTGGCTGAAACAACTTCAAGTGAAGGTAAATTTGATTTGTTATTTAAAATAAAATAAGACAAAGGTTAACAATATGAAAATAATAATAACAATAATAATAATAACAACAACATAGATATATGATAAACAAAGCCTGACTGTACAACATATTGCTAGTATTTCGAATAAAAGTAATGATAAAACGTGATATATATTTCTTATGGAAATGACAATCTTAATGATTGATTTATTTTACCTTGAAGAAAATTAGTACAATAATATGTGCAAAGATTTAAAAACAACAACATTAAAAAAACAAATAATAATGAAGGAAATAAAGTAAGAATTTATTATTATGATAATAAACTATTTTTTATAAGAATAAAAAAAAGCAGATTGAACAATAATAACGTGTTAAAAACAAGTGAAATTTCATTTCCTTTAAAAAGTACATTTTATTGTTTACAAAGAACAAACACCTAAAAGAATTTTAATATAGAAATTACCAATGATGTTGATTGTGAATTATATTTAATAAAGCGTTGGGGTAATATCACCCCAGTTACAATTGTCTAAAAGATTATAGATTAAACTAATTATTCTTCATTTGACAGTGTCATATTATCAGTCCGAAAAGCAGTTGAAGGTACTTGTATGCAAGTTTCTAGATCCAATTATACAAGATGACACTTTAGAGTAGTGAATCATACAGTCAGACATATCTACAGATCTCGGTGTTACTTACACGGTGTGGCAATCTTGAAAAAAGAGATTAATAAACACAGAGATCCATCAAATATCTGAACCTTGAAGTGGATAGGTCTTGCAGTAGTAAAGCAAATATGAGAATAACAAAGTGTTATAAACTCTACACTTTAAAACCACATTAAGATTCTTGTGGATCAACAGATATACCAAACTGTCTCTCGCAAAGCAAACGTCAACTAAATCTGTCACAATAACACTATCATCTTTATAATTGCCCTCATAAACGTATAGATTTAACAAAAAACTGATAGTCATCAAAAATGTTGATCATCAACTGTTTATGTGAAACATAAATAGGAAAGTAAGATGATATCACCTGTATGCTTTAGGTGGAAAAGGTTTGTTCAGAAAATAACGACACTACTAATCTGAGTCCTTTCAACTGACAGGCCTGCAAGGTCGTTGTATACAATGAATTAAAAAGATGACTTATACTAAGAAATGAGAAATTCGCTAACCACTAATATATATGCCATACTGTTTTAACACATTCATTTACTTCCCCGACCGCACTGTCACCTTTATCCCTGAGAATAATCGAATGATGATTATTTGGGCATAAGAGATAACGTTTTGGCTTTATATCAACCAGCTGACATATGATATACAGACTATATACGTAAAATACCTAGAACTGGAAAATGTTCAACTTCTTATCCTATAAGGTGAACAAAGTAATAGACCATGTGGGATTTTTGAACCAACATATCTTTTTATGCCCTTATCCTCCTAAAATATTAACACAACTATGAGTAAACCACGAAGTGCATAATTATTAACATTAAACTAACCTTGTTCAATCGAACTTTTCCCAGTAGCGCTTTCAGAATGTAAATGGAATCCACACTGTTGAGCATAATGAATAGCGTACCTAAAGTAAAGAAGATGATCTGAAATAAACTCTAGTAAGTAGTTTGTGTAAATAACACATAAAAAACAATACAATCGACTTATTATAGTTGAAAAAAAATTATTATTTACTTCTATCACTTATGAATTTCAAACATTTAAAAATTAAGAAACCATATCCAATACAACATGGTTTAAGACTGACATGATTCCTTATTTTGCTTAACTAGAGATTATCACAAAGAATTGATTGAAATTAGAGAAAACCATAATTAAAAAAGGTTTTATTATCATTTAGGTGTAGCGCATACAGACTTTTAGTTGACTGAATGGAGATAACTTTGGTTGGTGAACCTTCATTATTAACAATACAAATATTTGCTAATACATAGATATTATCAATACAGGGTTGTGGAGCTTGTTGAGTTTCATTGAAATCAAACCATCAATGTTTAACCACCACTAAAATCCTGCGAGCACTGGACGGCCATTTCGTCCTAATGTGAAACTCTCCAGCAGTGGGTATCCACAATCCTGCATGAGCGAATCGAACCCAAAACATTCCAACGCTTAACCTATAAACCATTAATTCAGCATCCGACGGTGTTAATGTCTAACTTAAATCAATCCACATTGCGCGGCCATTATTTATTATCCTCAGTAGGTAGCTACTTCATACCCTACACGTTTGAACTCTGTCACGACTTCTCGCAAGAACTCCAAGAATTCCCTCTCGAGCATAGTCACTGATGGGCACACAATAATTATCAGTATAGAGTTGTCTAGATTGTTAACTTTCATTGAAATCATGAATCGAATAACCTGGATTCATTTCCCGTGTGTGAGGTCGTGGATTCCTACACTAGGACGAAACGGCCGTCCAGTCGTTCTGGGTTTTAAATGGTGGTCTAATATCGATCGGCTCGTGATTGGAATACAGATATTATATCTCCTTTCCGATTATTTTATTTACTTAAGCTGTACAATGATATTTACAGTTAATTTTATTTGTGAAAACTATTGGTCTATTATAAGACAGACTGGTGTTGAATAACTAAAAGAAAAACTTGAAGTGGTACCTTGTCATGAATTACTTACGAAAATCAGATATTGAGAAAAAATTATGTAGTAATTGGCTAATGAAAAATGTTAAGATGAAGATAATTGTCCGCTTGATAGACACTAAGAACAAAATAATTAAAATTTGTAATGATGGTTAATTAATGGTCGTGAAAAATAAATGGAAAGTTGTAAGAAAAACGATAGAAGTTAGAACGGAAGGTTAAGACCATGGTTGAATGGTAAATTGAACATACTGTTTTCGTACTCAAAAGTTATGATTGAACTGGTGGACATCAACAGTCTCCGCTGCATACAAGTTTCACCTGCATTTATATTGAGCCTACGATTCTGACTATATGTATGATTTTGAAATGAATAGAACTAACAAGAAGCTCCAAGATTGGGGTTTTTCAATAGATAGCATATATTCCTAGTATCGTAATAACATTTATTCTAGAACAAAACATACAACTGATTCCGCATATTACATTCATTAGAAAACATTTGATTATGAAATTTCAAACCCCTGACCATTATGAAAATGTTTATAGTTCATATTTGTATCTTAAAATATTATAATCTACTTGCAACTACTTACATTTCTAATAAGTAGCATGATGGTAATGTGGATAAACATAATGCGAAACTCCTACTGTCTGAGCAGGACTACAGATTTAGTTAGCATATTAAGAAACCTTCAGAGCATGAATTGAAATTTAAAAATTAAGAGCCTTGAATTTATCAACCGGTAGCAAATCTCTTTGCATTTATCACTCCGATTTCAAAATAAAAATACAGATTAAACACTTTAGTCGACTTACTGAGCAACGACATCTGTCACCTTCGACAATTCCTCTCTTCCGTTTTTCAGAGCAGATTTCCTGATTGGTGCATTATAAAATAAATTCTCTGCGATAATAGTAGTTCCCGGATTACCAGCACAAGGTACAGGTTTCGATTCAGCGACTCCAGCACGATATTTAACTTTGAAAGCACAGTTCTGATTTGCTGTGCGTGTTGTCACAGTAACTAAGGCAACATGGCTGAGACTAGATAGTGCTTCACCACGAAAACCAAATGTAGAAATTTTACTTAAATCTGAAAATTCCTAATACGAAAGTAATAAGAAATTATATGACGAACATATTTCAAGAATTCCAATGAAAAATCGAAGTTAAAAAAAACTTTATACTAAAAATTAGAATTCCGATAATGAAAGGCCATCTGTCAAAGTGGAATTTTCCCAAATCTCTAGCTTCAAAAGTATTCCCTGTTTAAAAAAACTAACCGTTAAGACAGTATTTCTTGAACAAGATTTGATTTTTTTATCAATGAAGTTTATAGTTCGTTTAAATATGCTAAAGTATAACATCTACACGTTTATAGGAATTAATAATTAATACAATTACAATTGTTTTCGTTAGTTAATATAAATATCACTCCACTGAAAATAAAGTCTGTATCATCTCTAATCCCTCAAAAACTTAGTTATAATACGAAACAGACAAAACATTTTCATTCATTAGGGTAGCAATTATTTCATTTTCAACTCTTATTACGAACTATATTGTAAGCCTAAATAAAATTGTTATGATAACAGGAATATACATGAGAATGATGAAAAAATAAGATATAAATTGAGGTAAGATAGAACTGTGTACTGAATTGTGGATTGACTGGTTTTATCACATTTATTTTGACTATTTATATTAGCGAAAAGACCACTTTGGTATAGAATAAGGAAGGTATCAATCAAATACCAATAATATTAATAATCATAATCATAACGATACAAATAAAAACATTGATGGATATACTGTGAATGAAGCACAATTAAGGAAGATTTCATTGTTCACAAATGTTTATTTTATTGTCTACTGAAAAAAAAGCGAAAAGAAAACTATACTACGGTTAACATTAAGTTCTGTCATGAACTATTAGTCTAATGTTTGATACAAACTATAAAATTTCAAAATCTCTACAAATTCCCTTTGTAACTAATTCTTTAATTAGTTATTTACACGTAATCATTTTTTAGTAAAAATACAAGTATATAGAAATGAGATAATTGAAGGAGAATATAATTAAGAAAATACAAGAAATATAATGATCACCAACTTTTAATTTGCTTGTAGTAAAACGTTCGCATAGAATTGGCAAATCTGATTGATGTATACCACAGCCATTATCTTGAACTTGGATAAGTTTTAAACCTCCATCTTTAACAGTAATCTATTTTAAAAAAGAAAAAAATGTTAGTATGCAGAAAGCATATATCTTAAATGATAATACAGATTAGTTAAATGATTAACTTAACTCAAACACCAGGCACGAGGGTATGAGCGTGAACATGAGGGTTAATGATAATACCCGACTGCTCAAATCGAAGTAGAGTAGGATTTAAAACTAAGACTTAAAATCGAAAATATACAAGTTTACTATCTAATTTTATTAGTGTATCTCATCATTTCATAAATACTGAGCATTATAAAAGAGAATATGAATACCAACGGAGGATAACATTGAATATTAGCCAGTAAAATTAGTCTTATTCTACATTATAAGTCCGAGATATATAAAAAAGTATGCGAGATCAAAATCACGAGTGAAAATTTCATTAAGCCTAGAAAAACAAGTGTGCCACTTCAATAAGAAAACAGATTATAAGAGGTGAATGAGCAATACACATAACTACTTGTTATATAAGTTATGTCATAAATGTAACACCTAGTAATGATCAATTAATAAATGAATGAAAACATTGTGTCGAAAAAAAAATAATATTAATAATAATAAAGGATTTGCCCTCGAATATGAAATACGATAATACACTGATACTAAACCAGATAATATTGCACGTAGATACACAATTCCGATCAACAACTGAGAGACAGATAATAGATCAGAATCACTGTTTATTGACACAGTGTGAAATCAGAATAGAATTGAGTTATGATGCAATCAATCTGTTACATACAACAATAGCTTATATGCATAGTGATTTTCTGTCCTCCTTCCGTAGTCATTCTTATTTTACCTTCACTGGCCACATTATCAGAAAGATTCTGAATGCGATAGCTAGCCACTCAACTATAAAGGTCTTTTATTATGACGAGAGGTGTGTAAAGAATTGCTCATCAGGAACTAACGTCATATAAACAACCCCTGAAAACTAGGGAAAACTGAAAATTTGTATTATTCTAGTTTAGTCTCTGCAAAATTTGTACAACTCTCAAGAACAACTTACACAAGATGGATTGTTAGAGCGTCCAAAAATTTACATGACCCTTGACTTTTGTTTTTACACTAAGAGCTAAAATCTAGCGATTGACTTATTAGAAGAATTTAACTTAACCAAAATCTATTCACAATTAAGAAATATTAATTATCAACTCATTTGAACTGTTTAATATACATTTCATTGTATTAACCAAATACGCGTCAGTAATATAAACAGAAGTTAATATGTAGCTCGGAACCTCTACAAAAGAATTGAAAATCTGTGAAAGGATTCACTTATCGAATAGATAAAGTACTTACTACAAATCCAGCTGGTAAACTGAGAATTCAATAGACCAAGAGATGACTTTTTCATGAATAGGTATTTACTTTTTTTAAAAACTACCGGGGATGATAAAATAATGTTAATCATGCTGTACTGAGTAAAAGCCAAAAATGTGTTAATAAAATTGGTGATTATTCAGTTAAATTAATAGTCAGTAATTCAATGATATTTGAATAATTCCAGCTCAGTGAACGAATTCCTGATGAGTTTCAAAACAGTGCAGAACCTGTTTCAGTATTTCACGATTCTTAACAGTTTTCCATTCTTTTTATGAGAAATACTTAACAATTTTTTATGAACGATTTCAAAAAGAAACGTTTCATAAAGAAAAAACATAACTATGAACTTCATCACATAATAAAAATAACTGATATGAGATAGTATTGATCAGTTAATTAAAAAGATTAAAGTGAAACAAACCACGTATAAGTACTTTTATCATTGTACTACCAGCATCTATACTATTCTCTAGGAGTTCTTTAATTGCATTTACAGGACGTTGTATTACTTCACCAGCTGCAATTCGATTGATTACCTCTTTCGGTAGACGTTTAATGATCTGTGGCATTGATTTATCTGGACTTAGCAGTAGTAAATTAGCCGAGGATTTAGAATTATCATCTGAGTTTAGTTTATCCATTTGGCTGAAGGTTAGTGGTGAATTTCGCACATAACATTTAATATCCTATGAGGAATAATAAACACCTTCACTACAGTAGTAACCTTGAAAAGTACTGTAGACTTTCGTTCATATCAGAATATTTTACTTGAAAATGAAAAAAAACAATTGGGTAAAAAAACTGCATAATGCAAAGCATTAAAAGAAAGTAGGACTACATAGAATGTCTAACAAAGATAAATTGATATAACAGAAAATCACTAAGCACATCAAGTAATAATAAACAAATATTTAATAAAATGGGTTTCGCGAGATGAATTAGAAGTTAGTTTTCGTCAGAGACTGACAACAGCTGGAGAAGCATAGAAAGTCAAAGAACACTAAACATTTGTTCCGTTTTATTTTGGGGACTTCAAAACATTGAGCACCTACGATCTAGCATCTAATCAAATGTAAAACCTTCAGGTCTTCGGGAGGTTGAAAAAGTCAAAACATAATGATTAATGAAGTCGCCAAGTAATACGGTCACCAACAGTTAAGAAAGTGTAGGGACTGTGTAAGTTTGTTATGATACTGCAGAGATCATAAACAAAATATTTCACACGAGGACAAAATAATTAGTACTGAAAATAAACTAAGTCAGTGGTCAGATTCTAATATGTTGAAACCTTTTCAACAAGCTATATTCTCTCATAGTTGACATTTTTAATCGGACTGTCACATTTATATCGTAACACTTTTCCTAGAAGCTAGATTTGATATTGTTGATGCTTTTAATTTATGCAAACTGGAACGCAGCTCAGTTGAAACGAACATGATTGAAATAATCAAGCTGAACTGACAGGCAAGAAAACTTGACAAATAATGACTGAATAAAATAATATTTTGGGATATCAAACAAATTTCGGCTCCAAGTTACGACTACGTTTTTAACCAATTTAAATAATTACATTTCCAATATTTATCTCGACGAACTATTTAGCTTATTCTCATAAGGAACAATTTAACTGACTAAAAATACATATTTGAAGCAATTAATCCCTTTGACAAATTTGGATAGTGTAATAAGTAGACGAAGATTATCAGAACTATGTGAAAAAATACATTTTGAAGTGATTCGTAAATGGAATGAAAATCAAGATTTTTAATTGTTAACAAATATCAGCATAGAATATATTCGTCTTAGATTAGTAAATGTTAGGATCACAGGACTAATGAGTGATCTATTTGTATTATGACTAAGTAATCTAGTCTATTGGATAAGGACTATATAAAAAATTAGGTAAATAAAAAGTATATAACAAATTCATTTTATAGTCATTTTAAGGAAAACTACAAAAAGAAGTCATTCATGAATAATTTGTGATAAAAACGTATAAATTTGACTCAGAATATACCCAGATCTCATAACTTTATAGAGATAAAAAGTGCAACAGAGTTCCAACCTCTATATATTCGAATGGCTTTATTCGATTTCTCTAAATACTTAACTATTTAGTTGGAATTTTCCACTAGCTCTCCAGAATACCAAACTTACGATAACACTCAAACATAAAATCAACGACTGTGAACCAATTATTATTCAGCTGACCATCAATTTTCAGAACTGAAACTCTGTCTAACAATACGATATTAACTCGTTTTGTATATATAAAGTTGGACCATTTTAGATGCGCTCACCATTTAGAATAACAGTGGCCTTCCAGATTGAACTAAATATTAGATTACTTGAACAATCGTTAAAAAAACTAATAAAATAAACAAGAACTACGATTTCAGATAGTCTAACCAAACACTAAGGATAAGTTTAATTGAAACAAAACATTTTAGTAGGGTCCATAATTACGCTTATATATATATATCCATTTTTGTTACCATTACATTCAACAGAAAAATGAAATGTGCTAAATGAAAACAAGTGATTTATAATAATTTTAATATAATATGAAGCAAATGTTGTTTAAATACATAAACAACGATAAGAAATCAACTGTTGGACAGATAAATTAACAGTAAAAACAAATAAAATAAAACAGACAAAAGAAAGAAAGACAAGGAGGTAGTGATAATCATAATAATAAACATGGTTTTACAAAATAATATGGGGTGGAGGAGGGAAAAGTTATTTTGCTCAATGAAGTTTACAAAATAAATATCGATTAGCTGGACATAGCGGTCAAATAGCCGCATAATATATACGTTGTTTATTTTTTTCATTTCAACTACTTCATACAATTTAAATATGGAGCTATACAATAAGCTGCATAACATCTTGATATAACAGGTAAATGATTTTCATATTTAGCAAGTGATAATTTCAAACGTTTAGGGCGTGACTGAGTTGATGTTCTATGCAAGTTATTTGATGATGTTGAAGATGGTGATCTTAACTGCCAACCTTCAGAAAAATGACATGGTCTAAATGGAGCTTGTAAGATATTTGGACGAATATAATTTCCGACAGAAAATTGTTCTAACAAGTTAGGAGAAATATTTTGATCATTATCAGTAGTAGTTATTTGTCTAACCATCACAGAATCCTCATGATCTACATTCATTAACGAAGTTAACAATGAACTCGGTGTATTCTCAATGACTTCATCAATCGTAATACCACCAATCACATACAATCTATCGTACAGTACAAATGAGAAAGCATTGTAACGTGGAAAATCTAGTACAGTGACCTGAGTCCAACAATTCTAAAACACAAAAAAAAATTTCAGTTATTTAACAATTCGATAAAAACATAAGGAACAAAATAATACAATAACCTGAATATTAGTACTTTTGGTTAATATAGATAAATTACAAACATGTAGCCATTGCTTTATATCGAAAATTATTCAATTGCCGATAGTGAACTTGATGAAATGTAAATTGATTATATAGCTCAACAATGAATACAAACTGTTATTACTATAATTAACAATTAAAAAGGATAGATACATGGAAAATTGAATAAATGAAAAACAAAACAATAAAAAAAATACAATGCTTACTGAAAAAAACAATTTTTTCCTAAATAAAATCCATCAAAACAGTAAGTCAGTCATAAACAAGGTAGAGTCCGACACATATATGTATTGGGTCAATTGGACATAACACATTACCCCGAGGAGATGAGTAGCAAAGAAATCTAAATGATGTAGTATCAATAGTAATGAGAAGAATCAAAGACTGATAATATAAACCAAAAAGACAGAGTGAAAAGGTAAGTAAGTAAAGACAATACTTGTTTGGGACTCCTCAGCACCCGGGAAGTATCACAGCCCACACACAAATCAAGTGGTTTATGTGGCGCATATGTATTCTGTGCCCCTTTGTACCAATATTTATGTGTTTTAAATAGGCATAGTATACTATAATAGAGAAATAACTAAAATAGAATATTTTGTAACCATATTATCTACAGAAAATCGATGGACTCACTGTACTAAAATTAAAGCAGAATACTTTATTTGAAATATCATCAAGTTCCGAGCCGTAAACACTCGTTCGACCGCCGCACAAAAATACTTGATTTTCTACAGTGTCACAAGCTAATGCCACACTGATCAGAGGCATTGGTAGTTTTGGTAGAAACTTGAAATTTTCTCCATCTTCCTCTGTGGGATCATATAGAAGGGCACAATCAGACGGACGCATTTCATCACCATATTCTTCAAGACCACCAGCAAACATAATAAGACCTTGTTTTTGTCACCAATAAAATTAAAGAAATAATTATGACGCGTAATGAGAATCAAGTTTAGCATTATTAACAAGAACGGCTAATCAAAAATTGTTATTTTTGTAATGATTACATATATATATATATATATATCCTGTGCAGATTGTCTCGATATCGCTGTTACGTCACAAGCATTTTAAACAAATATGGAAGGTGAATAGCTACAGTTTTTATACTCGCTACTGTCATCCTCTATTTGAATAATTTTACACTAGTGTAACAAACATCAGACCTAATAACTCAATGGTAAGACAAAATGTTGTTTTCGGATTTAAAATGTGGTATTAGAACAACTTTTTCACAAGATATAATCAATGTAAACTGATCCTCCTATCCAGGTACAAAACAACGATTCAGCGGAGCAACATGTTAATGATTAGAATGTATTCTGAAAAACCGAATATAAAATAAGTACGAATGAACATGACCAATTAAAACTAGTTCAATTCAGTTTAATACAAACTGTTGTACTCAGTTTTCGAGACAATACCATTCAGTTCCCTAGGTCGCATCAAATAAGAGGGGGTTCGAACTGTACAACGTACTGATTAAGAATTGAGTATTTTAGCTATTTGATATAATAGAAACTAATTCTTAGCGTTTATAATGATGCGAAAAGTAATCCTTGTACAAAAGTTCGCTTAGAACAATCCACTTAGACAACAATAAAAGATTTCAAAGTTAAATCTTATAATTCGGTACAAAAGAATATTGTATAATGTCAGTAATCCCACTCCACAACTATGTTGTGTAAAAAAACACCTAGATTCACAATTCCATTTTTGGTCATAAAATTTCTAGTCCTCATCAACAGAGTTTGAATCGACTGTATACATCACAGTAAACAATGGCAAAGTAGGCTGTTACTTTTATGCACATAAGTATAATCTTTTGTAGATTATTTCAGTAACGCTGTTGAGCAGTACGAAATTTTCTAAAACTACAATCAGAATCACTCAACAAATGACTTTTCAAATCGTTATTTTCGAAATATCGAAGTGCCCGCATAAAGTTGAGTTCGATGCTCTGAAGAGCTCATCATTAGTCGTTGATTCTTAATGATGCATCAAATGTTTCTATCAATATACCTGCATTTTGTACCGTATCATCGTTAACCAGTATTGTAATAGAATTCCTCAGTTTTCTTTGCGATGTCAGACGTGGGAGACTGGCTTAAAGTTATTGGGAAAATAGTGAACTCTTCTGCTGTGTGTGTTTCGTGCTACTGAGTCCGGTTTCTGAATAATGTAGATAGGTATTAATACCTTTGAAGTATAATTCAAAACAACTTAATAACTAGACAGTGCCTAATAATACTAACGAACACTTCATTCCTTGAAAGTAAAGTCGAATACTAGTAGAAAAAATTAGAAGATCCAGGCATCTTTTATAAAATGATACTCATAATCCCCTAT